AGATACCTAAATATAATTCTTTTGAATTCCTTATCAGGGAGTGCCAATGCTGTTTCTTCCTCAGGGATGTGTTCTGGGTCATATCTTGGTCCCTTGTTTCTATTGCTTTATCTTTCATCTTTCTGTGGACTGTGATGGTCTGTTGTCTCTGAGACATTGTGACTTTGTTGTATTTATATTTAATTGGTGATTGTACATTGGAGCAATTTGCCCAAGAGTTCATTTTCTTTGTTTTGTTTGACTGTATCTGAGTAAGCAGGGTACTGTTCTCCTCTGTTTGCTAGTTGGCAGCACTTAGGCACTCACCATCTTTCTCCTGGTGGGTGTGATAGAGAATGAGAGTGGGTACACAGATCTCCATTAGCTGTTTGTGAAGAGCAGTTAAGGGTGAGTCAGGCTTGTATCTGCTGTTGTGTATCATTGGCCAGTTGGTGCAGAAGCAAGTGGTAGCTCTCATTCAGCAGGTGGGGCTACAGGAGGTACAGGCATGATTGGGTTGCATGGGCATGGTTGCTGTTTTCCATTCAGTTAGACAAAACAACAATCCAAAAAATCACCAAAAAAGTAAAAATGAGGATGAAAAACTCACACTGCATAAATACACAGGAACAATCACCAAAGAGAGAAAGAGAAAAAAAAAAGAAGAAAGGCAATAAATGAAATTAAATATTTAAAAAAATACTTCTAAAATACAAAAGAAATATAAATAGAAAAAAGGGGAAAGCCCTACAATATTTAGGGAGGGGGGAATAAAAGAGCTAGAGTAAGAGAATATTTAGGAGAAAAATGCAAAAAAAAAGACAAGGGATGGGAAGAACCACAAGAAAGAAAAAAATGGGCAGCAGGAAAAGAGAAGAGGAAAAAAAGCCCAAAACTAGAACCTGGGAAGGGAAAAAGAAAGAATAAAAATTAAAAGGAAGAAAGGAAAAAACATAGAATAATTTTCAAACAAACAAACAAAAAACAAATCTGGAGGCAAGGGCAGGGCAGGGCACCCAGGCTTTATCAAAAACACACAGACTGGCATGGAATTCTTGCCTGGCCAGAAGATTGGTGGAGGTGAGGGGTGGCTGCACCTCCATTCAGAAAGAGGGTGTGGGATATAAGAGTAATGAGGGTAATATTGCACCTCTCTGGTCATCAGCCTACGGTATATCTGTGCTGTCCTTGGCAAGTAGGGCCTATTTTTAGGTCTCTGGAATCTGAACAAGAATGCTGTCACTTTAAATATCCAAAATGGCTGCCACTTATAAACTCTCAAAATGGCTGCACCCTCTGGACAGCCAAAAATCCACACCTCAGTTTGTCTCCTTCTTTGCTGTTTCTCTTTTTAGTCATCAGTCACCAGTACAGTCCTCCATGCAGCAGTTGGCAAGCAGGGCCAATTTTTAGGTTAATTCTCAGGTCCTAACACCACTTGGAAATATTCAAACTGTCTGTGCCATCAGTCTGTAGCTCAGTTTGTCTCCTTATTCACTATTTTCATTCAGGTTCTTCTACTAGTATGTGTCCGATCCTCCTCTGTATCCTTCCCTTCAAAGCTCTGGGCTCCAGGATTATCTGTTGTATCTGTGTCAATTGGTCTCTCTTTTCTTTGTTGAAGAGGGTCTGTGTAACTTGTATGCCTATTCTGCCATCTTACCAGATGTCTTCTCAGTTCAAATTTCTAATACAGTAAATATCAATATGGGAACTCTAATGGCATAGTGCTTAAGGCATTTGACTGCTAACCAGAAGGCTTGCAGTTCAAACTCACCAGCCACTCCTCGGAAGGAAGACTGGGCATCTACTTCTAGAGATGTCACCTCAGAAACCCAAGGAGGAGTCACTATGAGTCATATCAACTCAATAGCAATGAGTTTGGGTTTTGAAACCCAAACTTACATAAAATAAAAGCTATTTGGGATCTTCAATTATTTTGTAAAGGGGTCTTGAGATAAAAAATATGAGAAAAGTTGATTTAGATTAATATGTAAACACCAAGGCGGGTCAAGAAGTAGAACACTGTTGCATCTACACTGGGGAACGGATTAGTTTAACCAGCTTGCTTTCCTATTATCTGTCTGAGAGGGCTGACAGAATGAAAAATATAGGAGACAATAAGTCGAGATAAGTTTTAAGAATGGAGAGAGCAGGCTTGGGTACAAGATATGAGTAGAAGTTTCCAGCCTAGAGGTTAAAGATATCTGGCAGTGTGTGCGTATGTGTGTGGGGGGTTGTCTTAAGACAGAGGAATCCAGACAAGGGAGAAGGGTTCAGAAAAGGTGACCGAAAGAGAAAATGAACAGAAAGGGAATGAAGAAAGAAAAAAATGCAGATCATATCTCACAAGATGTTTGGGAAAGGAAGTTGGTAAAGAAGAAAAGATCAAAAGGTAGAAAAGAATGGAGAAAGAAGAAGGGATGAGCAAAGAGAAGGAAGGATGGAACACACTCTCCCAGGACTACTCAGCTCTGTGGAATCCAAAGATCCATGGAGAAAACAGGTACAGCTTACCTCATGAGGAATATAATCAGGAGGCAATTTGCTCAGCATATCTTCAGATAACCTATAAACAATGGCTTCCCGAGTCTCTCCTATACCACCTCCACTCTCTTTGGGTTGAATGTTGGTAATTGTATCAAGAACATCAGAAGCAGTGTTACTCTGATACCTGATAAAAAACAGTGAACTGTTCAGAACATAGTAGGGTAAAGCACCCTCAGAAATAATTACCAAATCTAAAATGAACTGACTAAATTGCTTAAATCAAAGCTAGTCACCACCCCCAAGCCCCAAAATGGGAAATTTACCATCAACCTACAGGGTTGCAATGAATTGGAATTGACTCAATGGCAGTGGATTTGGTTTTGGATTTAAAACAATGAAAAAGTTAGAGATCCATTCCACTGCTTCTCAGCAGAACATCAAAGACCATCAAGAAATGAAAAGCTCTCTATTTTATGGGAAACAGATCCACAACCATTCTTCATAACACAAATCTTTGCTTTGAAGTATGATTGTGAAGTCCTTTCTTATAGCTAACCTAACCTCCTCATGCTGCACATCTTTTATTCTCCCTCCCTTAGGGATTGGTCATAGTGTTGTCAGGTGCTGTCGGGTCAGTGCCAACTCAGTGACCCATGTGCAACAGAACAGAACACGGCCCAGCCCTGTGCCATCCTCACAATCCTTGCTATGCTTGAGTCTATCACTGCAACCACTGTGTCAATCCATCTCATTAGAGGTCTTCCCCTTTTTCACTGACCCTCTACTTCACTAAGTGTGATACCCTTCTCCAGGTACTGACAACATCACCAATGTACGTGAGACAAAGCCTGGCCATTCCCGCTTCTAAGGAGCATTCGGCTGCACTTCTATGAAGAAAACATTTGTTAATTCTTCAGACAATCCAAAGTATTGTAAGTATTCTTTGCCAGTGCCACAATTCAAATACATCAATTCTTCTGTGGTCTTTCTTATTCGTCGTCCGGTTTTCACATTCATATGAAGCAATTGAAAATACTATGGCTTGGGTTAGGCACATCTTAGTCTTCAAAGTGACATCTATGCTCTTTAATACTTTAAAGAGGTCTTTTGCAGCAGATTTGCCCAATGCAGTATGTGGTCTGATTTCTTGACTGCTATTTCCATGGACATTGATTGTGACTCTGAGTAAAATGAAATCCTTGACAACTTCAATCTTTTCTCCATTTATCATGATGTTGCTTATTGGTCCAGCTTTGAGGATTTTTCTTTTCTTTATGTTGAAGTGTAATCCATACAGAAGGCTGCGGTCTTTGATCTTCATCACTAAGTGTTTCAAGTCTTCTTCACTTTCAGCAAGCAAGATTTTGTCATCTGCATATCACAAGTCATTAATGAGTCTTCCTCCAATCCTGATGCCACATTCTTCTTCATGTAGAACAGTTTCTTGGATTATTTGCTCAATATACAGCTTGAATAAGTAAGGTGAAAGGATACAACCCTGATGCACACTTTTCTGGATTTTAAACTATGCCTTAAGTATCACCTTATTTTGTTCAAATGACTAGCTCTTGGTCTATGTACGGGTTCCTCAAGAGCACAATTAAGTGTTCTGGAATTCCCATTATTCACAGTGTTATCCATAATTTCTTATCACCTACACAGTCAAATGCCTTTGCATAGTCAATAACACACAGGTAAGCATCTTTCTGGTATTATTTGCTTTCAGCCAAGATCCATCTAACATCAGCAATGATATGCCTCTTCTGAATCTGGCTTGAATTTCTGGCAGTTCCATGGCAATGTACTGCTGCAACCTTTTTTTAATTATCTGCAGCAAAATTTTACTTGCATGTGATAGTAATGACATGGTTTGATAATTTCCATATTCTGCTGGCTCACCTTTCTTTGGAATGGGCATAAATACGGATCTCTTTTAATCAGTTGGCCAGGTAGCAGTCTTCCAAATTTCCTGGCATAAACAAGTGATCACCTCCAGTGCTGCATCTGTTTGTTGAGACATTTCAATGGGTATTCTGTCAATTTCTGGAGCCTTGTTTTTCATCAATTCCTTCCGCACAGATTGGACTTCTTCCTTCAATACCATTGGTTCTTGATCATGTGCTACCTCCTGGAATGGTTGAATATCAACAATTCTTTTTTGATACAGTGACTCTGTGTATTCCTTCCATCTTATGTTGATGCTTCCTGCATTATTTAATATTTTGCCCATAAAATCCTTCAGTATTGTAACTCAAGGCATGAATTTTTTCTCCAGTTCTTTTAGCTTGAGAAATGCCGAGCATGTTCTTCATTTTTGCTTTTCTAACTCTAGGTCTTTGCATATTTCATTATATTTCTTTACTTTGTCTTCTGGAGCCACCCTTTGAAATCTATCTTTTATATAATCATTTCTTCTGTCCTCAACTTTAGCTACTCTCCCTTCAAGAGCAAGTTTCAGAGTTTGTTCTGATATCCCTTTTGGTCTCTTCTTCCTTTTCTAACTTTTTAATGACCTTTTGATTTATTCATTTATGATGTTCTTGATGTCTTCTCACAACTCATCTGGTCTTTGGTCATTGGTGTTCAATGTGTCAAATCTGTTCTTCAGATGGTCACTAATTCAGGTGGATATAATCAAGATTGTATTTTGGCTCTTGTAGACTTGTTTTACTTTTTTCAGCTTCAATTTGAACTTGCATAGGAGCAAGTCTTAGTCTGAGAGCTCCATTGAAACCTGTCCAACTTTGGTGACCCTGCTGGTATTTGAATACCAGTGGTATAGCCTCCAGCCTCACAGCAACATGTAAGCCACCACACTATGACAAACTGACAGACAAGTGGTTTTGGTCATAATGTTGTTGTTGTTGTTATGTGCCGTCAAGTCGGATCCGACTCTTAGTGACCCCTCCTTGGGTTTCCGAGGCAGTATCACTATGGAAGTAGATTGCCCCATCTTCCTTCTGAGGAGTGGCTGGTGGGTTTGAAGTGTCAGCCTTCTGGTTAGCAGTCAAATGCCTTAGGCACTACACTACCAGAGCTCCTTTGGTCATAATAGTCTACCATTATATGATAATTTTTAGATCAAAGAAGGCCACTCAATTCATTTTTCTTCATCAAAGTGTAAATTATTAATATTTATTTGGTCTTTTCTGCTTTATTTTTTCATATTCCCACTTGCTTTATGATCTCCAAGGTGATCTATTGACATCCATCTGCTCTCCATATCCAAATGCAGCCCATTTTTAAAATCCATGTATTCAGTAAAGATTCAACAAGTGTCTACTTTTTCTACTATGTACCAGGCACTGAACTGAGTGTTAGGATATGGTGCTGAATAGGAGATAGTTGCAGGGCCCTACAGTAAGCAAGTGCTATGGAGGAAAAGAAAAGGATGCTTTAAGAGTGTAGATTCTTTCTCTTTCTCTCATTCTTGCTCTTGCTCTCAGGTAGACCACATGTTTTGAGGTACATAGATTTAGTCTCTGTCCCGGAAATGCTGGGGCGACTAGCTTTTCTGTGTTTGTGAGTGTGTGTCAGAGGCAATTTACACTAGAAGATCAGGGAAAGTTGTTCTTAAAAGTCACATGTAAGCTGAGACCTGAAGGGTGAGCAAGTTGTCCAGGCCAAATTGCAGTGTGTGGGAAACCAAGAAAGGACATTCAGATAAGAAGTAAGGCCTGGAGGTGAGTAGAATTTCTGTGCATTTAAGTAATTTCAGCCCAGTAAGGTTGGAGCCAGTGAGCTAGGAGAAGAGATCAGTATGGGGACAAGGAGTCATGTGGGCCACTTTAAGGATTCTGAGCATTGTCCTAAGAACAATAAGAAGTCACTGAAGACTTCCCAAGAAGAGGTGTTGCCATGATAAAATTTAATTTTTTATATTCTGAACTTCTACTTTACTTCCTATAAATATCACATAATTTGATATTTTGGCTTATTGTTTCACTTGTAAATTATATCTTTCATCCGGATGTCAACAACATTCACACTTCCTTTCATAGGTATAGAGAGACATCTAAAAAGAATTGACAAATGCCTGAGATTAGTGATTTGTTTATCTGTTTTATCTTCTTGAACATAAAATAAGTCTTTGTAATTTAGAATACGTATCAAAATTTTAAATGGGCATACCTTTAATTTAGCAATTGTACATCTAAGAATTCATCCTAAAGAAATAATCAGACACTTCCATTTCTGAGAGTATGGTGCAATTGTAACCCAATGACACAGGAAGCAAATCCTCCTACTCAAGGTGGACTGTCTAATAAGAAACTCCTACATAAAGCTGTGACCTCCAGCACAGTTGCCACCTACCTGTCAGAAGGGGAGAGCAGGTAAATTTTCTATCTACCTTGGAACTAGGTGAGGAAAAGAATCTCTTAGTAATGAGAATTCTTAGTTTACCAGGTTTGTGACATTAATTAACATTAATTATTCATATTACCTGTTGTTTTGGTTATCTCTGTGCCAATCTAACAGAAATATCACAAACAGGATGGCTTTAACAAACTGGAGTTTATTCTCTTACAGTTTGGGAGGCTAGAAGTCTGAGTTCAAAATGCCAGTCTCTAGGGGCTGGGTGAAATCTCCTCAACCTTGCACTTCAGCTCTGCCTCTTGCTCCCGACCCACTGAAGCTAGAGGCATCTCTTCACTCAGACAGCTGCTGGCTGCTGAGGCTGACAAATCCCAGGTCAACAAATGAAAAGGCACAGTCCCAATATTACCAAACCAGACAGCAGGCCATTGATTCAAGTCCACTGAAAGTCCCAAGATAGGCAGAGCATCACAGACTACTGAACAATGACTCAGCTACATGCAGGGTGGTTCAAGTGTGCCATAAGCTTGAGAACTTCCTCAAAGTTGCTTCTCATATACTGGAAGCAGACCACATCCCTAAAGCAGCTACTCAGCTGCTCCAATAGATTCCACCATTAAGTTAATTACCAATCTCACCATGGGGAATAACTATATCCAGCTGCCCAAACAACCAGGCCCAGCCAAGTTGACATACAACCTTAACTACCACACCTGTGTTATCCAAAAACCTCAAAGAATTTATTTTAAGATGGTCCCAGGAAGTCCCAGGTAGCACCTGATAGAAGGATACACAAATCTTCCCCGAAAAAAATATGCCTTCAAACCAGGTTTCAAATAATTCCAACAGTTAATTTCAAATAGACAT